CTCTCACACACACACACACACACACACACACACACACACAAACACAAAATAAAAAAAACGAAAAGAAAAATGGAAGCACGATCTCGCGCCGTGTATCCTAACCGCATGCGAGATTTAGCGCCTTAAACCTGCAACCCCCTTTTGGTGACTTACGCCTAGCTTCCGCCCCGCACCCCTTCGACTTTCGTCCTAACTTTTCCTCTTCTCCCTCCTTTCCTTCCTCTGTGTTTTCCCCTCTTCTCGTACTCCCCTTTTGTCCTCCTCCTCCCCCTTCTCCTCCAGCTCCATCCCTTTCTGCTTCCCTACCCTCCCTCCCTCTTAGGATTTCGCCTTCCTTTTTTCTTCTCCTTGTGTTCCTCTTCCTCTTCCTTCCCTTCATGTCACTTCATCTCCCTGTCGCGATCCGAGTGAATATGAAAGAAACACAAAACGACCATACCCTCGTCCTCCCCTTCATGTCGCTTCGTCTCCCTTTCGCGATCAGAGTGAGCAGGAAAGAAAAACAAAACAACCATGGCCTGTTTCCGCCCCCTTTCCCCACACCATTATCATCTCACCTTGTCCTTGCAAATGGTGCTCCTCACTCCTTATCTTTCATCTTCATCGGCGTCTTCAACCTCGTTTTCATCAGTCAGCGCCGTCATGGTAGGGTGCTTGGTCTCTCTCTCTCGATCGATCGATCGATCGAGCGAGCGCACGAGCGCACCTACCCACACACAGTTTGTGTGAACCCCACGAGAAAAGCATGCCTTTGCCAGACTGTTTCGTTGGACTTTCACCAACACATCAGGAGGTTGAACCCCGACAGTCTGCCCATGATGCACTTGCATGTGTTTGTGCTTGTGCGTGTGTGTCCATATGCGTGTGTGCGTGTATGTGCTTGTTCGAGTGGATGGGCAGGCATTCATGTGAGCACGTGCTGTGCGGCACCAAAGATATGCAGGGGGGCCGAACCGCTGAGCGGAGAGGAGACCGTCCCGCCTGGAACCGGTTTCTTCCCACACCCGGCAGCCCTGACTTCGGTCTGGCTGCAAAATTCTAATCTGGGCCGTTGGCCAAGTGGTACCGGGCCAACGGCCCCAATTGCCCCGCAATCTTAAAGTTTTAAGATCGCGGGGCAATCCGGGCCGTTGGGCCGGTAGGACCGTGAACGGCCTGGATTGCCACGCGATCTTAAAATCGTAAGATCGTGGGGCGACCCAGGCCGTCGGGCCGGTAGGTCCACAGACGGCCCGGATCCCAAAATTCTCACATTAGGAACTTCTATAAGTGTAGGGATTGGTTTTGTCCAACCAGTACCAAACACATCAGTCTGTAGCCTAAACTTTATCGGCCACAGGACCTCCTCCGTTAACCACTACAGCCATGGCACGGTGTACAAAAGTGGATCCATGCCGGTCGTGATATCCACCCCACCCCTGCATGGCTGTAGTGTCCTTCAAACTCACACACACACACACAACACCACACAAGGCATCCGCCACACAGGCAGTAGTCCCACACTCCACTCTCATCCAGCACAACTGCTTATCCAACGGTTTTATCCACGGGCCACCACATCCAGGTATATTTTCCGGGCTGGTTAGGCCTGGTAATCAACTCCCTTACTTACCCCAATACGCTGTTGATTCAGCCCACCCTCCAGGAAAATCTGCACATACCCTGTACTCTTCTCTGGCACTGCACACGACGCCACATACAAAATGAGACTCGATCAGCGATCCTTCGACTCCTGAATTTTTATTTATTTTATTGTTCATTTTTCCAACTCATTTATTTATGAACTCGCTACAAATTTATTTACCTGTTTACTTCAATCTTTTCATTCTGTGAGGATCAGGGTCCTCGGTAGGCCCAAGGGGCCCTGTTTGCAGCATTGCCCGCCCTAAGTGAAGGCGGGCCTAACATTTCACAAGAGGCCTACGACTGTCAATTTCATATTTGGGGGTACAGGCAGTTGCGACGCGCCAGTTGGTTGAGAGAAACACAGGCCAAGCAACAAAGACATTTCCACGGCCGTCCGGGCCTTTCCAAAGAATGCAGGCCCTGGGCGTGATTCGCAGCCTCATACAGAGACAGTTGGGCGCCCAACCGAACGATGCCCAGCAGCCCAGTAGCTGCTGTACACAGGCAGCCTCCTGGGGTCTTCCGGAAGGTTCTGGGCCCAGGCCAGTGCAGCCAGGCTGCTCGAGCAGTCCAGCTCTTTCCATAAAGGAAAGAGCTCTTGCCAGGCAGCCTCATTCGGTCACTTGCTGGCTGGCGGCAGCGCTGCTGGAGCAATTGCTCGCGGGCTGACTGCCGGCATTGGAGCAAGAGGCTGCACATGTGCGATCATGTGTGGGAGCAGGGCGCTGCTGAGGGCAGCGCGCAGGGGTGGTCTTCGGGTGAAACAGAGGACAGACGTGGGTGTAGTCAGGGGATAGGTGAAGGATGACGATGATGATGATGTGAGGGCACTTACCTTGTATTGGCAATGGCCTGTATCGGAATGCCGCTGATGTCAACAGTTGCATTGTCATTTTGTAGTCTGTAGTAGCTGTGTAGGAGTAGGCTGGGCGCTGAGCGCCAAGTGTGAGTGTGAAGGAACTGGACTCTTGTGTTGAGAGGAGAGAGTATGCTCTCAATGAACATTGGTTTTCAGGGCTCCGAACCTCCATTGGTGTATTATTGGTGCAATGCTTCTCTCTGGACACGGTGTGACTATCTGGCTTTCAATGTGATGGTGTGATCTGAAATTGTCATCTCGCTGTTGCTTATTTTCCTTGCAATTCCCTTTATTTCAAATTATTTCCAACTTGGGCGCACGGGCCACTGCCCGGTACCTGGAATGACGCCCCAGGTGCCCGGCTGGGTGACTTCCCGGCCCGAGCACCCCCAGCGCCGAGACCCAACCGGCTTCAAAAGAAAAAATAGCCCTGCTGCTGTGAAGCCGGTAGCCCAAGGAAAGTTTCGTGTGCAGCAGAATTTTGTTGTGGGGCCGGTAGGCCCTCTTCTTTTTCTTAGTTCTTCTTTTCCAATCGGAGCCGTTAATCGCCCCAAATCGATGGCCCACGCCAGATCCAGGTTTCAAATACAAAACGTGGTGATTCGCGCCTTGGTCCTATGTCCCGTGCCCCAGCCAGCGGTCAGCCGCACGGCACTCAGCCCGCCGTCCCCTGCCCAAGCTCCTCTGCACCTGGTAGTAGTTGCCGTCGCCTGGATCATCGCCACACTCCCTCCCTAAGACCACTGCACCTTCTTCTTCTTCTTCTTCTTCTTCTTCTTCTTCTTCTTCTTCTTCTTCTTCCGCATTCTTCCACCTTCTTGCTTGTTTCCCATTCTTTATCAGTCTCCTTCTATTTCTTCTTCTTTCTCTTCTTCTTCTTCTTCATTTATTCTCCTCCTTGTTCTCCTTCATCATCCTTCCCTATTTTTCTTTGTCTTTGTCTTTTGCTGTTTCTTCTACTCTTCATTGTCTTTTTCTTCTTCTTCTTCTTGGCATGACTAGCATGCTGGACTGATATACTAGAAGTCTAGAATCATTGTACATATATTTTCTTCGTTTTTCCATGCTTACAGCCAAACTCCCCCCCCCTCACCTCCCTCCATCATCACCTCGCCTTCCTCCTCCGTCTCCTCCCGTTGCCTCCCTCCTCCCTTCCCCTCCACCCATCCCCTCCATTCTTCGCATCCATCCTTTCTCAACGAACATCACCTCCGGTCATCCCCCATCTCCTCCCTCCTCCCCCATAGCCTTCTTCACCACCATCCATCACCTCCTCCCATCCCCTCCCTCCTCCGCCATTGCCCATCTCATCTGGCCTCCCCCATCACCTCCTTTCCTTCACCGCACCCATCGCCTCCCTCCTCCACCTCCTCCCATCGCCTTCCCTCCCTCCTCCGCTTCCATCCTCTCAGGCCGGACATTGCCTCCCATCATCCCCCTTCACCTCACCCGTGCCCCATAGCCATAGGCCCCCCTGGCCATAAGACACTAGCCACCTGATGTATCCCACTGTGCATGCAATCCTGATAACTATATTGAGATTGATTGTAGCTTTCGCAAAGACAAAACTTCACAAAATATGAGTGAATGGACCTCACCACCCAACACTCCACATGCATTTGGACGGTTTATGGGCCACGTGCATTCGGGTAAGTCCAACATTGTGAATGCATCTGGCTCAGAAACCATCCAAATGCATGTAGAGTGTTGTGTAGTGGAGCCAGGCCCAATTTATACATATGGTATGCCTAAGTAGCTTGGAAGGTCCATGGACTTCCAATCTATCCATGAAATCATCAAGCGTCTTCGACGTTGTGCAAAGGAACCGGCAAATTATGCCCAGAAAATACAAAAAATTCCCACCATTGGTCCCATGGAGAAGTTAAAACTCAAAAAGAGCATCAGAAATTTAAAACGTTTCTGTAATCTTTACCTGAATCGGAGTGAATCCGTTTTTTCTCTCGTCAGTGGCATTTTCACCATAAGAAAAACCCAAGTTCAGAGAGAGAATTGTTCATGGAACAACTGTAGAAATCATTTGGACTATTTTTCCTAGTACTGTTCATGGAGTGCTGACCCTTCCAGACAAAAAGTACAAACATAATAAAAGGATAAACTATTGAACTTGACATTGTTGAAAATAAATGCTGCTGCTACGAGTTTCGCATCTCTTTGATTTAGTGCTCCAGGCTCACGGAGACGTAAATCTTCAGGGGTAGCTGTCGTTTTGCTTCAGGGCTAGTTGTGGTTTAAGCAAATGGCAGGCTCTCATGTGCATCTCATGGACAAGTAAATCTTCCCTTCCTTTTTTTTTTTGCCCACTCTTCTCCAGGCGCACACGCAAAATTGCTTCAGGCATCGAGGCGAACTCCATGCAGTTGTGATATCTCTGTCTTCATCTCGGCACTGGCCAATCTCTTCTCCTTTCTCTTCCAACGCACTGAGAAGTGGATTCAGTTTTTCCACCGCTGTGGAAAATAATGCCACACAGAGGACGTGGACATGGCTGGATGTGGGAGTGCAAAGAGATCGGCAAGTGCCAAGACGACGGCATAGGCATCAGAAGTGTGCAAGAGTTCCGCGCGGGAAAGGGTGAGGCTATATCAAGACACAGAGAGAGAGAGAGAGAGAGAGTGAGAGAGAGAGTGAGAGAGAGAGAGAGAGAGAAATCAAATATTGCACACAGTGGGTCTCACACCACCACTCCACAAGTGTGAGAAATGCAAAAAGAATGGTGAGTATTTCTGTCCATCTTCTCGCTGAAAATGCACTGACTATTTCATACACTCAGTGAGTAGGGCCGCCATGCCAGACACCTGGGACAACAAAGAGAGTTTCACACTTGGTGAGCAGTGGAGCAACAGCCAGAGAACTCGGCACAACCATAGTACTCAGGGCGAAGGCAAACGGAAAGGGGGCTGCACACGAACAAGTATAGTTGCTGTTCCGCTCCAAACAACTGACCCATCCTTCGCTGTCTGGATTGTCCCATAGGTCAGGTGGCTCTGGCTCGTCCTGCAATTTTCGACATGAATTATAGAACACATAAACACGATTTGGCATAGTCAAAAAACTTCTGGCGAAACTTCCAAGGCCACTTTTGAAGCAAGAAACAAATCTGTTGTTTCGGAATTCCAACAACTCACCAATTTGGATAAAAGACGGATAAAAGAAGCATAAATTTGATGAAGTAATGACATCAGATGCAGACCGATGACAAGCAAGAGAAAAAAAAAAAAGAAAAAGGGGAATATAGTAGGCTGCCAGAGTGGCCCACAGCAAGTTGCCCGGCCGGGCAAAAATTTAATTGAAAAAATGAAAAAATGAAAAATATATCTTTTAATTTCTTTTTTTTTGTTTCAAATTCGGTAAAGAATTTCGATGCGACCTTGAGGCAAAAGTTGTTCACTTTATTTTTGCGCATCACATTGTGGTTTTTTTTTCAGATTTTCTTTTTCTTTTTTGGTTTTGGCTGGGTCCTTCACTAGGCCTAGCGCGGCTGGGCCGCCCAGTCAAACAAGGTAACCCGGGCAGCGCGGTTGGTAGCCCGGGGATACCCAAAACAAAAAAAAAAAACAAAAAAAAAAAAAGCTCATGGATAATTAATGGCTGTAAAGCATGCTATGGTGCACCAGTCAGGTTCACAATGTGCAGTGCACATTGCACTTTGCAGTGCACATCCCAGTGTGCAAGCCTCCTGTAGGCAGGTGCAACCTGCACAGGTGCGGTGCACAGTAGACTGCTCGGTGCAATGTATAATGCTCGATTTGCAGGGCCGGAGAAGGACAGGGGAACAGCACCCAGCCCAACATCAGCCCAGCACAAACAAAAGGACCTCCTACAAAACGAGAGAGAACAAAATATTTTTTTTTATTGAATGAGATCATAAAAACAGCCAGTTACATCCAAGAAAACTCCTGAGTATGCGCCCTCTCCAGGTACACACGCCCAGACATCGGGCAAAATCACGCAATACAGACAATGGTACTGTTCCTCTCTAAAGGCATACTACATGCTCCCCTGAACACAATGCCGATCCGATACAGTCATGGTGACAGTGCATTGTGTTGAGTGGAGAACGAGGGGACGTCTTTTTTTGACAGAATAAGGCTATGTTTGCGGTCAAATACATAAAGTCCTGGTGTCCGTATGCCCTGACATGTCCTTCAAGCCCATCACCCATAAAGTGCCCAAACTCTAGGGGACATAACACAGAAAACCGGGAACTGCCTTATTTCCTATGGCCTCCATGACATTAGGACTTTCTTGAAAGAATCTGGCAATCACTGAGGTTAGGTGCATTCAGGAAAGTTGTGGTGTGTGAGCCTCTCTCTCTCTCTCTCTCTCTCTCTCTCTCTCTCTCTCTCTCTCTCTCTCTCTCTCTCTCTCTCTCTCTCTCTCTCTCT